AAAAACGTCCGTGTCCACGGATTTCACAATAATTGATTTGCTAAACTCAACCTCTGCTAGAACGTGAAGAATTATCCGGGTGTCGGCTTCCTCTTGATTGCTGTTCAACGACGATACATTTTTTGGATAATCGGATCTAGTTAAAAACAATGCCTCTTTTGGATTTTCAAATCCTCCGGCTATAATAAATGTTTCATCGTCTTTTAATAATATTGGGCTGTTCTGTACAAAGTAGTTGGTTAAAAAATTTAACAGGGAGGTTTTATTCGTGGAAGATTTGAGAAAAATGTCAAATTTAGGTAGAACCATCTTCATAAAATAGAGATGCTGGAACTGAAGACAACTCATATGATAATATATTAGACAAGTCCATTTCTTGAAATCGTGCTGCACATATTATTCGACGAAACATGCATTCTGATCCAATGAACGTTTTTTTTGCCATGGCTTTTGGCTTGACTTTGGTGTCTTTAAAAGTTTGTATTTTGTTTCTTTTCGCAGGTTTCCAGAAATCCTCTTCACGTGGATTATTCAAAACATATTGGACTTTCTCTGTTGCAATTTTTAAGAAATTTCCCAGACTCTTCTCTACTTCTTCTTTAACTATTTTTCCTGTACATATATTAACTAAGGGGTCTGGGGCATTATCTAGATCAAACGGATTACACCAATAGTTCTCTATGCTATTGAGGATTTTTAAAACATCTTCTTCATTTTTTCCTTCCATCCTAGAGTCGGTTTGCAGAGACGCTTCTTTCTTGCCTTTTTGGACTATTTTTGAGGTGGCTTCTGTAGAAAAAAATAAAATATATTAGAAAAAAAGTTTGTTAGTTAAATGATCACCTACTTACCCAAAATAGCTATTTATACAACAAGTTACGAAATGAGTGTCTTTTAGGCACGCGACGTGAAAATTGTCCAACTCGGCTACGCCTCGTTGGACAACACGTCGAGTGACTAAAAGACATCGTTTCGTTACGTGTTGTATACAAGATTTTTTCTACTGGCGTTTCATACTGAAAAAAAAACATAATTTTATTCCTCGTAAATAAGAGCCGATCACGCCAAAAAAGTTTGGCACCTGCTTTTGATTGACACCTTTCATGAGGTTTTTTTGATTGAAAATTGAAATCCTATTAAAAAAAACAACAGAGTTCTGTTTTGAGTAACCCAAACGTTTACTTTAGTAGTTCAAATAATTGCATTTACAACATTTATGAAAAAATAGACAAAATTCAAATCTGCGTTTTTTATTTCTGAACAATGAGTGACACTTTTAGGCACTAGTGCTTAAAAGTGTCACTTTTACGCACTAGTGCTTAAAAGAATGCCATTTAAAAACTAAAATGACAATCGAAAAGTCGCTATTATGAAACGTCAGTAGAAAAAATTTTTAGAATAATCTCCCAATATATGCCTTGTTGTCATCCATCGTAGAAGAGCCCCTGGTTTTTTAGAAAATCCAATTATTCCAGAAGAGCTCTTGCAGTCTTTATTAATGGATTGCTCGAGAGCCATGTCTGAAGCCACACAGTTGAACTTTTTTCCGTTGGTTTTTTTACAACAAAATTACCAGTTGCTAGAAATTCAAACATGTCAGGGACTTCTACTTTCAATTTCTCCATATCGGATAGATATACTGGAACCCATTTAAAGTATAAATTTCGTCCAGCAGCTGATAAATATGGCAGTGTATATATACAGCACATAAGTGTGCCTGAAAATCTCCGTTTCTTTCTGACTTGAGCAGTCTCCAAAGAAGCTCAACTGCTATTAGGAAAGAGTGCCAAAACTTAAATGTTGAATAGGCATAGCGGAATTCAACAAAACGTCTGATGATATTCTGGAGCGTCTCAATTTTTTCAAGAAATTTATCAAATTTATGCTTGTCATATTTATGGCTTCTAAATTCATTTCTCAAATCTTCTATAGAAGTATTAAGCTCCTGAGTTAGGAATTTATTTGATTCTGGATTGTTACACCAATGTTCTAATGATTTGAAAAACAATCTGAATAAGGCATCAGCAGCTAAAGTCAATCCACGAATAGCCCGTGAATACTGTTTACCTTCCATCATAAGTTTACATGTAGCTTCGGCATATACATCAGTTTCAGTCAGCATTGTTGTAAGACCGCAGTCACCAAAAATGTAGCCTATGCTAGCAATATATGCCATATTCAAGTGCATGCCTCCAAGCATTAATGTTACACTGCCTTTCAGTTCTGGTGGATCGTTCCATAAAATTTCTCTAGCTTTGGAATAGATTGCAAGATCCGCTGTTATTACTATATGATTTTGATCAAGCTCCTTTGCTAATTGAAGTATAAATTGTATCGTATTCTGTAGGGGGGTTGTTTAAAAATGGCAAGTAAAAAATATCCGAAACGACAATCTCATTATCAGATAAAATATTATTATATGAGGACCAATTAAAAAATGCGGTTCCGCCATTAAAGTTTCGTAAAAGCGTCCAGGCTAGATTGTTTTTTTTTTCAATTTCATCTTCTTGTCTGTTAAGAACAATTTGTTTAAATGATGAGGGCTTGGGACGATTAGGGGGATTGTTATACTTCAAAATGTTTTGGAAAGGAAAATCTAAGTCTTCTGTGTTTAGCGAATAAGGTCCTTCTCTGGAAATATTTGAACGTGCAAAACTACGATCATTATTTCGCTGTTGAAACACAACTATAGCCATGCTATGAGTTGTATTTTTACCATCAATAGTCTGTTCATTTAGATCAAAATTATCCATATGCATGGATATAATTTTTCATTGAAGGACTAACCATATCTATACCCAGTGGTACATAAATTTGTTCTTTATGGACCTTTTGCCGTTGTTAACTGTCGAACGTCATCGTAGGTACAGCTGAGGCCAATATCAGATAAAATCTCCAAAAGTTGTTTACTACGAACTGTATGATGTATGAACAGTCCCAATCCAAATTGAAAGTAATTTTCTTAAATTTTTGAAACCAGAGCCACTGTTCATCAGCATAAGGTAAACTTATTTTCGCCAAGTTATTTATGTTATATGAGACAATAATAGGCTTATTCATTAAGTTGTGTACTTCTGAAGGCATCATCCCATTCATGACTGTTGTTATTGTCGAGGGAATATAATATGTTTCGTTTTTTATTGGAGGTGTAAGAATTTCAACGCCATCAGCTATATTTGTGTTGAAATAAAATACTTAAATTGAATTACTTGGAACCTCAAAATTTTGATTTTCGAAATCTGTTCTAGATTGAAACGGAATTGTTGTTTCATTATGAGAAAGAAGCATATTAGAAAAATCTATATTTAAATTATTTATTCCATCAAAATAGTCATGGAAACTATACATTATCGTTTCGATGTTGTTTTGAATATTATATGTATACTTGTAAAATTGGGACATTGATTTTTCCTTGGGTTTTTCTTGTACCCATACAAGTTGTTAACTTTTTCCGTGAATTAATTATAGAATTTGAAAAATATTCTTCTGTGATTGAGAGTCTTATCAAAGAGGCATGACTTCCAGTGTTAATTAATAATTTACACGGTGGATAGTCTGTTTGAATGAAAGGTGGTTGCTGGATTTGATAAGCATTTAAAGTTAATGCTGACTCATTGCATCCAAGGCTTGTAACTGAAAATTTTCGTCTCGAGTTTTGACTTGATTTTCTTCAAAATTTGTCTCTTCATCATAATTTTTATTTTCAGAACATTCTTCAGTTTCGAAATTTTCATCAGGGTCAGGTAATTCTATTTTAAAGATATTAATAATCTCTTGGATTGTATATCTTGAAGGGCCTGCATATGGGTCAGGTTTGAAATAGTTATTGGGTCTGTATTGATGTTGATTTTGTGCTCGTGGTGGCACTGAAACTCCGGACATAGGTGTCGGTTTCAAAAATTGTTGATTAGTATTTTTTCGAAAGGCATTATCATAATTTTTGCCAAAGGTTCTTGAACTAGTAGGAAATTTTGTTGATACATAGTCCATTTTAGGTGTTATGGTAATAGGTTGGGATGGAAACTGTGATTTGTGTGATATATAAGGTCTTTTTTATGTATATTGAGGTTTTTGTTGAGTATAGGTTTATCGTGAATTAAATTGCGTATTTTTATTTTTGAAATTTGAAAAATTTTGATTTCGATTAGTAGAATGATTAAGTGCTCTACTTAATTTCGGGAGGTTTTCGGCCAGTTGATAATTTAACACAAATTTGTTAGCTGCATCCAACGTTTGTGTCCTGTAACAAGCACGACATGCAGTTGTCATACTAACCACTTACATATGGCTGCGCAAGGGCCATCTACAAAAGACACAAGAAAAGCCTAGAAAAATACGATGCCTAAGAAGAATCCTACGAATGAAATGGCGAGACCGACGAACATTATTGTTCAAAAGAACTGTAATGGGATCCCTCATCATTAAACACCAGCTTCGTTGGACAGGACACCTCGTCGGCATGCCCGAAACACCCCTTCCACGACAGATTCTCTATAGTCAACTGAAAGAGGGAAAAATAAATCAAAGGAGTGAGAGAATAGAGGAAGAAACAATGAAGCCAGAGGGTGTGCCAAGACTGTAGAAGAGTATGCGGGTCCAGAATTAATTTATATAGCCATCAGAAAACGCACAAATGACGACAATAAGAATAGAATCGAAGATAATCACACTCGGTATCGAGTGATCGCCTTTGATGATGACTCTGGGGTTTGTTTTGTTGTTTCCTGCATTTTAGGTTTTCGTGTTGTTCTTTGTCTTGACTTGAATGTATGGAGATATCCATATCCATATCCATCTATTTCTTGATTACAATTAATTCTCCTATCTAAAAAGTTTCTTGCGACTGTTTCCACTTTCATCGTAGTATGAGTTGATGTAGATAGTTGTTCGACCAACTTTTCAAGAAATCCTGATTATGTTATATAATTGCTAATTGCTTATAACTAGTAATTGCCAATGTAAATCAAATAGATTACAAGAAATCAAATTTTCTATTTCAGTTGCATTAAGCACCGCTGGTAATCAAATAGCTCAATACGTTCAGGAACAACAGCAGCACGGTGTTGATGAACATGTTCAATACCAAGAACAGGAACAATATGATGGTGGACAATACGAAAGTGAGTACAGCTACCAGCGCTAGTTGACAATTTTTTTACTTTACACAATTTAAATGTTCAAAATATTCACCTAATCTATAACAAATTATTGATTTTATCAGGTGAACATATCAGCGAGGACGAGAATAAAGAAGCATCAGGAGCAGAACTCACGAGTTTAGCTCACACGTCAGCCGTTCAAGCTAAAAACGCCGTCCAATCGCAACATACTGCAGGAAGTCAGGCAGCTTTTGGTATTAAGAGTACTTTGGCTACTGCAGCTCAAGGAGTAAGCATTTTTTTTACAGAAAGCTAGAATGAATGGTATATTTATATATATATATATATATATATATATGTTTGTGACGAAAACAGTTGTAGAATATTTAATGCAAAAACTTTACGCGGAATTGAGTCTTTAGAAGTTTTGTAACAAAAGTACATCAATATTTCAATGTCAATGTTGGTGTAAAACTTCCTATTCATGTCTCCAAAAACAGGAGAGCTGCATGTTCAGGCGGTGTCTACTCACATAAATAACTATATATACGTATTTCGCAGGAGTCTCATAACACTCACAATCTTTTTTATTCATATTCAATCCGATAATCATCTCATTTTCATTTATATTTTGCATGGTTTTTATATTAATATATCCTTTTCAACTAGCAAATCTCACCTGTTCAGTAGTTGTGGTTTCTTGTTCGTTAAGATAAGCAATGTATAGCCCTTTTTATTATTATAGCTTTATTTTCTTTAAGCACTTCGATTTTCCGTTATCCTCCTTCGTCAAAGCTCCATTTTCCTTCCTCACCATTCGGTATTTTATGCAGACTTTTAACCTTAAACAATAATACCACTTGAAAGTTGCATATTTCTAAAGTTTCTGAGTCTCTCAATTTCTCGATGTTTCTTATTTCTTGACTTGTTCACCAGTCGTTAACCTCCTTCAATTTATTATATTATTTTACTCTAATACTGGAACAAACCTGGAACCTTGGCACATAACCTGTCCACTTACCTGACAAAGGTAAGTGGACGTTTCGCTCGTGCTTCATAATTTACCAATGTCTAGAATCAATATAATCCTATACTACTACTATTATTGAGTAATATCAATTATGGTACTATCAATATCAATATTTATTTAAAGCCATCTTAATAAGAAAATAGGCACCAATAATTCAAATTTCGAAAGCTGTGAAATATTGTTGGAGATATTATATATAGTTATTAATCAATTAAGTGTTAGCACGTGTATTACTAACGATCATTATTTTATTTTCAATCAGAAACTTGAAATATATTATCAAATAATGTCGGTACCTTCAATTTTATTAACACGACGCCCAATCTTAAGTGGACTATCCGTGACGCATTTATTTTTCAAGATAAAATTATTTTTAAAAACTACTTACCATTTTAAGGCCGCCCAAACGGCACAAGCAGCCCTTGTAGGTAAACAAGCCATTGTCTACGGCCTGAAAAAACAACTCAACGAAGCCGAAAAACGACTACAAGCTGAAATTTCTCAATACAAACAAACCGAACAGGCAGCTGAACTTGCCCATCAAGTCGCGCAGCAAGTTCAAAATCAAGCCGCAACTTTAAGCGCTGCCTTAGCTGCAGCACAAAGTAAGTTCTAACTTATGCACTCAAAAGAGATTATCTTAATAAATATATTTTTCTAGGTGGAGGTCAGCTTGCCGCTAAATCAGCCGCGGAAGCGAACAACGTAGCAGCTTCTCAACAGTCCATGGTGGCGCATGCGAAACAAAAGCTAAACGTTCTTCTTCATCAGTTGCAAGAGGCCGTACAAGAGCTGCATCAAACTGAAACTGCGTATTACAAGGCCAGCGAATCGGCTCAGATTGCTCAGAAAAATGCAGCTGCAGCAGGTGCGGCTGTTGTCGAAGCTAGCGGACAAGCTGAAATTGAATCTTCCAATCATCATTACCACCATTAGTTATTTTATTTAAATTAGAATTATGTGAATTAATTAGATAATTTTTGTTTGTTGGGGAAATTTGAGAAATATATCATTATATGTTGTTATTTTTGCTTTCGAATTTTATGCTTTACAGATTTTCTTCTGAGTGCTAATAGCAAATAAGTGCATGAATCATGAAAATGGAACTTTCGAATAAACAAAACACCTTATCACATCCGGTAATCTGAAAAAAGAAGAGTAATTTATAATGGATATATGCATATTATGTAATTGATATTCACCAATTAATGTACTCGTATTTTGAAGAAAAAATTGAACAAGTCCGTTATTCAAAACAAGCTACGGTATCCGGCTTCGTTCAGGGAGTTAATGAGATTGAGAAAAATTTAAAATACAGGGTGTAAAAAAAAATAATGTACCGGACCTCGGAGAATGATACTACCCTATACCTTTAGGGAAACTACCCTTTCAGAACTGTTACGAATTTGTTTCACTATTACCATTCGCTTTGGCATCAAAATGTATGCGAGAATATCAAATTTCAAGGAAAATAGTCTGCCACTGTTCTAGAAAATAAATAAAATCTATTATTTTCATCTACCGTTTGAAGGGCTGTAACTTCTTCAGGGAGAATCTTAGGGCTTCATAGGAACTGTTTTTCTTATTTCCATATGTAGTATCACCTCTTAAAGTCCAGAAACTATTTTTTTTATACCCTGTATAAGAGGAACAAATTTTTATTAATACCTACATTCTAATATAGTGTAGCTTGTTTATAAACATCATTTTTCATTTTGTTATCCGGGGTATACAGTGTGTCCAACATAAGGATGAAATAGCATTAGGATCTGGACAACAGTTGGAGTTATGCTGGTTAAATTAGAAAAAAATTGCGCAATTTAACGCCCAATAAAGTGGTACTTCGACATTTGGAAAATTTCGAACACTTTCGGAGATATCCGGAAAAAACCGAAATTCGCAGTCTTTTAAATTGGAATGGCAGTTCAGTAGAGATCAGTGGTATTCTGAGGATAAATACTGTGTGTCCTTTGTCCTTTCCATTCATAAGTTCGACTTCGATGATGTTATTCGATAGCTGTTTGACGATTATCCTTGTTCCATTACATAGTTTTGGTGAGTTGAGATTTCTGAGTAGGGAAGACCGGGGCTATGAGGCCACCTTCAGAAAAACTCGGAATATCACAGAGAAATTTTGGGAAAATATTTTTCTTTTTCGAATCATACTATCCATCCCTATGTTATCTATCACCAAAGAAGTCAAACAAATATTGAATTCGAAAAGGTTTTATTGGAAATCCAAGAAATAGGTGTTGGCCTTATTACCCCGCTATATATGGGGTAATAACGCCACGTGTGGCTTTATTGCCCCATTAATCAAATAAACACATAAAAGACTTAAATTATAAGAATAACATAGGAAACCAATGTTTTTTTCAAATATAATGAAGTAAAATGAATCATTTACAAATGTCGCAAACATATCGCTTAGCTCTTTCACATCCACTAGTCTTTGTGGGCCCATTTTCAACACAACGTGCACCTAAACCAAATTTCAGTTTTTCTTCCGTAGTCTCCACAAACTAAACAAATTTCCTCATCAGAACTTTCATCTTCCAGGCCTTCGTCGCCTAGGTGAACTTTAGCGGAACTTCCTGAAGAAGAGCTACTAAACATCTTCCTCTTTACTTGAACCACTTTCTTTTCTTTCTTTCTCTTATTCTTGCATTCCCTTTTAAGAGCTTTTTCAATTAATTCTTCTTTGTTGGGTGTTCAAGTCAATATTTTTGAAGAACCTTTTTTACGAACGTAACGTAGTGTAAGCAAAAGAAATATTTAATCCGACACTGCCAGGAAAAGCCAATGTTTCGTTTAAATATCCAGCAACACTGTCTGATATATTTGGAACATCTTTTTGAATAACCTTTTCAGTGTTCACTTCGACTTTAGATGGGCCTGGTTCCATGATATTACTTTCAGTGGGTGGCGCAGATGGACCTGTCTCCATGCTATTATGTTCAGTGGCTATTGCAAATTCAGTTTCATCAAACACATGTGGATTTAGGGGAAATACTCCGGTACACTGGAAGCCTTTAGTTGCTTTGTCCATGGTTGCTACTCTGCCATATGCAGATCTAAATATAGAGGCAATATCATACTGTCCAACACGTTCGTACTGCCTGGTTTTTAGATACAGGTCAATCTCAACATTCATAGCTTTTTTTAGAGGGTCAAATAAAACAACGTCTAAAGGTTGGGTGCGGTGGGACGTGTGTGGGGGTAAAGATACTGTTGCGGAAATAACCCACAACAAGTTTAAATTTTGTTATTTCTAATTCAATATAATTTTCCTCTCTATCATTTACCATAAAAATAATATTCTAAGAATAGATGCCTGTAAAACCGGCAACAACAACCCTTTGAACCGGTAAAATTGCAGGTTTCTTCATTACCTTATAAGGCAGTGAGCCCCCCCGCGGCTGTGATTGGTCAGCCGCCACACAACATCCCTAGTTTTTTTGCGACCTGCTCCCTGGCAGAGCTCGTCGACGCACATTCTTCAGTACTATTAGAATAAGTGTAGAGTTCGCACCCTCGCGCTCTCTGAATGCTCTCCAGAGGAAAAACTCCCAAAACCCCCCGTTAGTACGCGCGATTTGTAGTAAAATACCACTCTCTGTGTCTCAAGGCCTGACATGGTCTATATTATTGATTACAATTCATGTAATTAACTCCTAATTGTTGCAAGTCACCTCGGACGAGCAAAATTCTCTCCTACGCTTTTTTTTGGCGCTCTCTCTCTCACTCTCGACGGGCTCCAACGCACCTGTATATCATTGTGTTTTCTTTTCATATATGGATAAATAATCGCCTTATGGATTTATCTGTATGAACTAGATTAAGCAAGTAAGACTGTTACAATTTCTCTAACAGTCGAACAACAAATACTGATAAGTGATTCGCTTGAAATGCACTATAAATTTAATGCAGAAATTTGGTTTTCACACTCGTGAAATTAACATTTGTCGTTTGTATATAGAAACTGAGCATATATAAAAAGACTTTTCTTGCACATATTGTTTACAGACTTCAGCAGAAAAGTGCTCAAATTGTTAACTCTCAATAAATAAAAGAACTTTCAAGGATCAATAAACATTTTGTGATTGCAGTGAACTGATTGAAGTTGACGAATTATTTATGTTGCGCTCTCGTGCATTTAATTAGTTAATTTGAAATCTCTCGTTCATTGAACATTTAACCATAAATGATATTATCATTATCAGATTTCCCTACTTTTTATAAATCAAGATACTTATTTACTTTAGATTAGTATAAAATTTGTAGTTCGACTGGACGTCCAATTAGGAATTTTTAGGTAGGATTTGATTGATAACCATACCGAATTACTTTCATTTATTAATTAAATTGATAACTATTCTATTTCAGCGTTTTATTTGCATAAATGAGAATCAAGGCACCCCTAACTCAATACAAGGCTTAAATGATCCAACACCTAATGGTTAATTTTTACAGTCAGTCGAAGTAAAAACTTTTGGCATCGCTGGTGCGGTTTGACTAAAGCCCAAAAAGGGGCAATAGCTAGTTCCGTCACACCATTACGATTCCGTTGGCCTTGCAGAAGTTATATGCTGCCAATGACACATGACTCGAATGATTATCGAGAACAAGGAGCACAGGTTCAGTCAACGAGCATTTCGTATTTTTTTGGAAATGTTCAAGCCATTTCAAAAAAAGTTCTTCAGTTATCCATCCTGATTTTGAACACGTGCAAATAGCATCTGGTGGTCCCCCCCTTTCTACAAGTGGTATCATTTTTTGACGATTAAATATAAACATTGGAGGTACGTAGTATCCCGCAGCACTGGAACAACAGACGACTGTGGTGTTTGATCCACGTTCTGCACTAGAAATAAGTTCCACTTGCTTTTGTCCTTTTTTGGCTAATATTTTTACAGCGTTGCCAACTGTATTGATACCTGTTTCGTCACAGTTGAATACGCGAGATGCCGAAAATTTATATTTTTCGTAAACCACGTTAAGGTTTTCAAAAAAAGTGGAAACATCTTTTTTATTAAATCCTATAATTCTGCTAAGACTTGTATGTTCAGGTATTGAATCAATAGTAACCATTGAAACGCAATTATTTGGTGTATTTGTCGAAAGCAGAAGCCATTGAAAATCAAAATGAATCGGTTTGGTGAAGTGAAAGATGAGAAAATCGACGAAAGTATAGTCAAAGTTAAACCAAAAAACACAGTGAAATCTAAAAACAGTATTTGGAGGCAGTTTATGTCATTTTGCGGCCAAAAAAGTACACTTTTGATCAAGATACTCCAATATCTGCATCTATTCTGAAAAGCTGGGCCTTTAATATGAGAAAAAGGAACAAGGAAGAATATAAAGAGCATTACAATAAAAGTTCTCTGGAATGTTATCGCAAAATTGCTCATGGAAAAGTATTTTAACGACTTTAACAAATTTAAATTTAATTTTATGCCACAATTTTTATAAAATTCGTGAAATATTCTCCCTAAATACCATTCGTGCTTAAAAATTAACCAGATAATTTTCATTCGAGCTAGTTGTACAAATTCCACTCGTTCTTCGAACCCGTGGAATTAAAACAATAAACTTTCATGAAAATTATCAGTAATTTTTAAGCACTCGTGGTTTTATCCCCGAAAATATTCCAAATAAACTCAAGATAAACGTCAAAATTTTCACAGTCGTCATATTGAAAAATCACGTGGTTTGGAGAGCCTAATTAATTTTCAATTTATTTATCTATTTTCCGTTTTAAAAGATTTTACAACAATAATGAAATATGTATAACAATGTACTAGTAACAAAATTATCACATAAAATATCCCTATTCTTTCTAGTTACATAATTCTAGAAATGTGTTTTTTAAACTGACAAAATTCAAATGAATCTAGATCATGTATGTAAGTACCTACACTGATGAGAAAATGTTAGATGGCGCCACGATCAAATTTCGACCGTCTTAAGTAGGTACCTACACATACATACAAGTGAGATTTTCGTTTTTGGGGCCCAATGACGTTCTATCTAATCTATCAACATAATCTTCACCTACATTCCCAGCTCAGAATGCTATTATTTGCTTCATCTGCCATGACTCTTATTTGCTCCTATGTACTTTGTGTTCTGAGGTTCTTCTACAGCTCTACACTGAACGGTAGGTACAATG